ACGGATTCCAGTCTAATCTGTTTATTCTCTGGAACCCTTGACGACGGTTGAGCAGCGTAGCCCAGGTATGCCAAAAACATACGCCGCCGTAGTGAGTCAACCTGCTAGGGCAACAAAGAGACAGAGTGCACCCAGGCGCTATGTCCAAGCGAAAAAGAACCACAATCCTAAAACACAACTTAACGCTTTGAGCTCCCAAGTAAAGCTGGTTCTTGAAAAGCCGAGTCAACTAGGAAACTTAGTCAAGACACACTTAAACCCACAACGTCGCCTATGTTAGGGAAAGCAGATTTCCTCCTCGTGAACGGTGTCTGATCATCGTGAACGCTCCCAAATCTAACAAGGAAACGCCGGCCGCGAGGATAGAGGATGACCAGGTATTAATATAGCGGATGATTTATTTACTGTCTTAGGAAGGGGAACAGAGGATCCTTGTCGCCTTTGCCTTTCACCTTGGCCAAAAGCAAGAGGAGAGCTCCAAGGTGCGTTCGCTGAAAATAGATTGTCAAAATGAAGAGGAATGTCGTTGCATTCTCAGGGGGACTTCGCGCATAAAGGGCGAAACGTTCCATGTCTTGAGGGTCCGCCGCCATGAAGACCGGGTGAAGATGAAGAACGCCGTTGATGAAATGCGGACCCGCCGAGCCAATGGTGAAGCTGCTCTTCGTATTGTGGAGTTTCGTGTAGTTCAATGGACTCTGAAAGCTCGATGGCATCCAGTCTTTGTAGCACCCGGGCTCTAGGGTATAAATTTGAAATACCTGTGATGTTCACCAATGTACGAAGCCTGAGAAATAAATTGAATGAGATTCGTCTCCTCAATTTGATGCCATCCTGACCTAATGGCTTTTACTGAGACTTGGCTGTCCCCGGATATTTTGGACTCTGAAATACGCCTTCCTGGTTATGAGTCTTCTCTGGCTGATCGTCTCGGTACGAGAGTTGGAGGTGGTGTCATACTCTACTGGAAGTCCGAGTTGAGGGTTCATACCGTGGAGGCTGGTTGTGCTAAAGTTGGTGGCTCGGCGATACATTGGTATCGTGCCTACGACGGACACAATTCGCTCATGGATTGTTTTGTCTACAGACCTTCAATGGGCTCCGGATCCCGATGGCTGGACTCGATCAAAAGGTACAGCTAGGGAAAGGATTGCTAAATAATAAGAAATTTCAATGCCCCAGCAACCACTGGGATTTACCTTACTGTGATTTTGCCCCAGAATCCTTCGATGCTGTTCTACTAGAAACTCTCCTTGATGTGGGTCTAACTCAGCATGTCGCGTCACCTACTCGGATAATTCCGGACCAAAGGCTGAACATCCTCTACCTTGAGTTCACTCCCCAACCATCCGATGTATCTGATTTAGAGATTCCCCAGCCACTTGGGTCAAGTGATCATTGTTAGCTTTCCTTCCTATGAACAAGGCGACCCACCATTCACCACCCGGGCATACCAAGACGGAATTACTGGCGCGCAGTATGCAGACGACATTGCCCTCATCCGTGACAGCTCCCAGATGTGCCAAACCGCGCTGGACAGATTAGCACTGGCTGTCCGCCGCTTCGGGCTTTGCTTTGCGCCATCGAAGTGCAAAGCGTTCCTCCAAGATTGGCAGGGATCGCCTCCTTTGCTGACCTTTGGTGGGGATCAGCTAGAAGTCGTTCAGAAATTCAATTGCCTGGGAAGTGGTATCAGCGCCCTTGGGATCGAAGACGAGATCACAAACCGTATAGCAAAAGCTCGAATTGCATTTTCTAACTTTCGCCACCTATGGCGGCGGCGCGACATTACTCTCGGCCTGACGGGTAGAGTGTACAATGCAGCGGTACGTTTGACCTTACTGTACAGTTGCGAAACCTGGCCCCTAAGATCGGCGGACATGAAGAGGCTAGTTACGTTCGACCATCGGTGCCTTCGCAGTTTGGCTCACATCTGGTGGGAACACTGCGTGAGTAACGAGCGTGTTCGACGCATTGTTTACGGCACAGGAAAAGGAACTGAACCGCTGAGCACCGTCATTTCACGCACCAGGCTCCAATGGCTCGGCAAAGTGTTGCACATGCCAGCCCACCGACTTCCACGACGTGCGTTGTTTGCTCACCGGGGATGTAGACGGAAGAGGAGGTGGGGTGGCCAAGTGATGACTTAGTCCAGGGGAATGAAGTCCCTCACTTCTGAGCTAGCCTCGGTTGGAACGTCACGGCTCCCTGGTTGGGGTCCAACAGACGGTGAACACGTTTGGCTGGATACACTTGCTGACATGCCAAGGAGCCGACCTCAGTGGCGTTCATGCTGTGCGTTTCTTTGTCCCTCCCCATCCCTTTTAGCCTCTCCCTCCATCTACGATCTCATTTCGTAGGGTAAAACATAATAAAAGTTTTCTTTTTGCCCAGTAGCTGGCTGGTAGCTTACCGGAACGGTGCCTATCCGTTGCTGGTAGCTCAGCTGGCATGCAACTGTTGTATCTATTTTTCCTCTGTGTATTGTATTATATGTATGTATGTATTTCCTTCATGTATTGCGACACAAGAGCGGAGGTATTCTCCCACCTCTAGCTGACGTGAATAATATACTGGCGCGCAGATTCACCCCGCCTACAAATGGCTGAAAGTGTTATGGACTGGAGTACCCCCAGAAGTTTGATCTCGATACCGCTTGGAAGCTCCTTCGCTTAAAACGGCTCTCTATTGTCGACGAAGTTGTACCAACCGTTGCTGTCAGACCACATTTTAAAGGCCCTCCTTGGATTGATAGAGAACTGAGAGCTCTGCTGCATAGAAGACCACAACTGTGGGACAAATTCTAATTCACAAGCTTGGAGTCTGACTATTATGATTACAAAGTGCTCAGGAAATGCTGTACACTGAAAAAGACGCTAGAAGCGGAAACAGTATGAGCGTCGCCTGGCTGAGCAATCTTGCAGTGACTGGAAAAAGCTCTTCTGGTACCTAAAAATAAGTACTAAGGCCGGTTGTGGTGTGCCTGCCTTGTACTCGTGAGTGCATGAAGCTGTACTTCATAAACGTGAAGCGAAAGCCTGCTTTCTTACTTCGCAATATTCAGCAGTGTACTCGGAAGAGACCTTAGTATTCAATAACTGTGTGCCACACACCACTTTTCTTGGAGCACATGGAAATTACCACCAACATGGTGTTGAGAATACTTCCCGAGTTGGACCCGAACCTTTCGCCAGATCCTGATGAATTACATTCCCTGTTCCAGAAGACAGTGGCTGAGTATGTCGCTAAGCCAATCTGCAAATTGTTTCGGTACTCACTAGAGGCTAGCCGCCTTCCGCTTGATTGAAAAGTAGGTATTGTGAAGCCAATCCACAAAGGAGGAAATCGAGAGGATCCTGGGAATTACAGACCGATCTGCCTGACGTCGATCATTTGCAAGACAATGGAAAACATTTTTAATAGAGCCATTCAGCTTCATCTCGAGGCTCTGGACAGCATTAATCCTGCTCATCACGGTTTCCGGAGGGCACGCTCTTGTTCCACCAACCTACTTTTTGCCCGCGATAACTAGGCAAAGTCAGTGAGTTCCGGTAATTGCCCAGAGGTCGTTTTTGTTGATTTCAACAAAGCATTTGATAGGGTTCCACATGAACGGCTCCTTATTAAGCTCCGGAAAATGCATTGCTGGCAATGTTCTCTCCTGGATCGCTGATTTGCTGGTTGGTCGTAGCATGAAGGTGAAGGTCAATGGGCTTCATCCTGTGCCTGTCCTCATGATTAGTGACGTTCCACAGGGCTCCGTCCTTGGTCCTGACCTTTTAAAAATCTTCATCAACGACCTTCCATAGGTGCTTCAAACGGACTCTGATCTACGCTGATGATCTTAAACTATGGTCGGAAGTATCGGCTTGAAGATTCGGACAAATTATAGCTAACGCTTGATCTACACAACTCGTCTGTGAAGTGGCAGTTATCTGTCAACCATGACAAATGCTGTGTTCTTCCATCGGTTCTCCAGAACCTTTCGGCACCTCCCACATTGGTGGTTTCCTGCTGAGCAATGCGGCTTCTGAGAAGGACTTGGATGTGATTGCATTCCGTAATTTTGAAACCATTCCGGGTACGTTGCGGAAACTCGCCTCCGCTAACAGGCTACTCTGCGCCATACGGAGGTCACTTTCAAAGATGACGCCTGAGATCTTCAGGCTCCTGTTTTCTTCTCACGTCCCTCCCATATTGGTATATGGACTGCCCTCTTTGCATCCTCTCACAAAGTTTGAGTGCGCTTAACTCGAGAAGGTTCAGCAGTGTGGATCCAAGTCTGTATCAGTGCTGCGTGATTTGTCTTATCCCCTTCGACTTCAGCGAATGAACTTGTTCTCTTTGGACTATCGTCGTCGCCGTGGGGATCTGATATACACAAGATGAATCCTAAAAGGAGACTTGGGAACGGAGGTGCAAGAGTTCTTTTAACTCAATGTAGCTAACTCGACACGGGATCGCAGTTGAAAACAGTTTAAACCGCGGATGTTCCGCATCCGCTCCGACGTCACTTTATCTACCCGCGTCGTAAAACAATGAAACAACTTCCCGGAATATATTGTCAGTGCCCCTTCAGAAGAATGTTTCAAGCAGCGGTTGGATAACTACACGCTGAGAACGCCTGGATTCCACTGATTTTCCTACAGCTGTGCTGATCCCTTGGTGAACACAGGTTAGCAAGGACACGCGTCATCCAGCCAGTGAATAGGAGGTAAAGGAGCTGACACGGGTCCTTTCCCTCCTGCTCTCTACAACACTGTGTAACTTTCAGCTCCTTGGTCTAATACGATCCACGACACAGAAGCCCTTGGAACCCTCGACCGGACGTATTCAACGGTCCGGTTCTGTGGTATGTAAGTATTCCGCTTCCTCCATTTTCGACGACCAGATGATCATCTTGTTCCTACTGTCTACTATTTAATAAGCATGATTTGTTTTCTCATTTTTGTTTATTTTCTATATTTAGACTCGCTGCCAGATTTACTCCGCCGCCCTCCATGGACCCAAGTGAGGAGTTTGTTGTACTCGACGAAGAGGCAGCAGCCGCCCGAAACATGGCTGTTGATCGCTTAAGCGTGCTAATAGACCTTTTCAGCAAAGCTTTGGGTCTGTACTCATTTTCTTCAATCTAGTTTTCTAGATTCTGTTAATCAGTCTAACGTTCTGCTTAAAGATGAGCTCCGATCAGCCCTCACTGTGACGCTGCAACATGTGGTACCGTATGACAGCACCCTCATAGAAGATTTGGTAAAAAAGCTTGACGGGGTCGTAAGTACTTTTGCGCGGCCGATAATCCAGTTCTAGTCCCTTAGCACAGAGGAAGTCCGCGCTAGTTACGTCAGGCGATTGTGCTCTCGACTGGTGGTCGTGAACGAAGAGAAGCAAGCCTTAGAATCTGAAAACAATTCTTTACGAGAGTCTTTAAAACAGAAGGAACATGAGTTTACGGTATGTTCACCTTTCCAGTGTACTTCTCGTCCTTTAAACGTAACTACCCGCGTCCCACCCCCGGTACATAGATATAACTGCTTTCTACGTATAGACATAGAACTGTCAAAAACCATAGAAATCTACAGAAAGTAGTTATTGTGGAGTGAAAACTGAACACAACCGAATAATCGATGGCTTCAGAGATTACGACACAAGCCGGTTGCCTAAGTCGTAGTAGGAAGTTGAGTTAGGGAACACCACATCGAGCCATCATAGCTGAATACTCTGCGCAAGTCATCTGAGTACAGTCAGGGAATCACGCCCATTGGGAGCTGGCAACATTCCCTAGTTTTGGCTCTTTTTCATTAGTCGGTTGCGAAATATGGACCTAATCCCCTACAATTTGAGCTTCACGTTGCTGGAGTACAATGCTGTCCCGAAGTAAAGTAATGGAAAATGGCTTTATTTAGTCTCGAGTTATATCCTCCACACCAGGCATTTGGGTCTTCAATAGGATGCGTTTACTAGGCGAAAACCCCATCCGTAATGATTTGTTGTCTCATTTTCCTGCTTTTCAGACATTTCGGACTAATATAGCTGAGGCCGCACTTACTGTCCGGGACATTGAGATTATTCTTTCAAAATTGGAAAACAGACCCAGGTGAATGTAACCTTGTTGTGTTCAGTTTGCATTATCTTGTTTCCATTTACCGTGTCCTTAGTTTGTATTTCGTTTCGCTCTGCTTTTCAACACTTCTTTAGGGTGAAGGGTTTTGGTGTTGCCTTCTCCCATCACAGCACTCCATATCGTGTTTTGTCCTTGCTTGGACTCATCAGATAAGAATTGCCTGTCTTGGGAGTGGAACTCATCATCATCATCATACTACACGTTAGTTGGAGGTGGGGAACACCTCAGCTACTGTGCCGCAATACGTAGAAAAATAGGAGAAAG